AGCATTAAAGGGTTTTTAGCCTACAGAAAAGTGTAAAGTTCTTCTATTTTAGGGTATGACTCTAACCTTTTGGTCTACTACACTTTGTCAGGCATGTTCTATTATACATTAAACAAGAAATACTGTTTACAATCATATAGTTAAATGATTTAGGCATTAAAAATGTTTACTGCAATGTAAATCTGCAACCTTAATTCCACCCGCAACTGACTAGCATTAGCATGCTAGCACATTATGATCCATTCACATCACTTAAACCAATGGCTATACAAGGATAAACCTTTCAACATCCTGTTTGGCAATAAAGGTAACAAAAAGGAATTTTTAAATATTATTATTATTATTGTTATTATATTGTTGTTGTTATTATTATTGTTGTTAATATTATAATTATTTTCAGTTTATATTTTCTCCATTTTGCAAGTCTAATAACAAGCTGTTTTTATTTTAAGATATTTGCTTACTGTGGCTGGAAGGGCATATCCGCCACAAAACATATACCAGAGTAATTTGTAGTTCATTCCGCTGTGGTGACCCTGATAAATTAGAGACTAAGCTGAAATATTGTGAGCGAGCAAGAATATGTGCTGCCTACCACAATCACGAGTCGCAGATGTTATTGACATTTCCAAAAAAAAGGAAACAGTCATGTGAGCTTTCCATACCGTGCAGTACAGTATCCATCTGCACATGAATAACTGGAGGCATAGAGTTCATCTCCTGTTATAATCTGTCACATTGATGACCTGACTGACTGAACAGTGATCTGATTTGCAAAGCTGATGTGTGTTCTCCATCTCTTTAGCCTAGAGCTCAGACAAAACACTGAGCTATAAATAACCATTAGAGCTCCCTGACAACTGTCACATACACTTTTGAACCGCACTGTCATTTACCACATGCTCGTTTTAATGCAAGAGGCATAATTAAGTAAATTTAGGGTGTTATTTTAGGATTACCCTTTAAAGATTTTTGTTTGATTGCAGGTAATTTTTTTAAATTATGATGTCCAATATTAGTGCCACAGACAATAATGGTGGTAAATACTGTATAATAGGAATTTTAATGACATTTTAATGGCCAGTGTCTGAATTCCCTGTTTCTATGTGGAGTTTGCATGTTCTCCCTGCTTTCGTGTGGGTTATCCCGGGTGCTCCGGTTTTCCCCACAGTCCAAAGACATGCGGTACAGGTGAATTGGGTAGGCTAAATTGTCTGTAGTGTATGAGAGTGTGTGTGGATGTTTCCCAGATATGGGTTGCAGCTAAAAGGGCATCCGCTGCGTAAAAACTTGCTGTATAAGTTGGCGTTCATTCCGCTTTGGTGACCCCGAATTAATAAAGGGACTAAGCCGACAAGAAAATGAATGAATGAATGAATAGAAATAAGCATGAATTGAACAGAATTATTACTGACTTTTACTCAAATAAGAGAATGTTTCAATCACATTTCAATTTGTTATTGTAATTTTTAAATGTGGGAAGTTTCTCCATATAAAAGGTTTATATTTACAAATTTTAGACATAATATTCAGAACCAGCAGAGAGCGAAGTTAGTATACAAAGCTATACGCTAACGTAAGGAAAATAGCTATAAAAACAAAGTATAAAATTTTAAGTAATATAATATTTAAGTGATAAAAATAAAACTGAGTGCATTAATTACTTTAATGTAATGTATGCTTTATTTATGAAGGTGCTGCAAATTTAATATAGTGTGTTTGCAGTTATTTTATGTCTTTAAATGGACTGTAAACTAAAACAAAATATAAAAACAAAACTTTCCAGTTTTGAAACAAGGAGCATGTTTTTTTTTTCAACTCAGAAATTTAATCTTTTTAAATGTAAACTGGCACAAACAAACAAAAAGTAATAAACCTAAACATAAATATTCATATTGAAAATGCTGAATGTATTTATAAATAAATAAATATTATGCAAAATTATTTTAATAATCAAAACAGACAAATACATTAATGCAAATATTTTCAAATTAAGATCAAACTAATAATTATGTTTATGCAAAGTTATTTTATTATTGTTTCAAAACAGTTTATTTAAATGAAGGAATGTTCTACACTGTAAAAAAATATTAGTTCACTTAATAAATGTAAGGCAACTGGTTTACTCAAACTATATGCATAAATATTACAAAAATAAGTTAAATCCACTTAATAGTTTCAAGTAGCAATAGGTTTACTATTTTTTAAAGTACAATTAAAGTACAATTATTAAAGTCATTATTAAAGTACAATTATTTTATAGTGTAAAAAAACATGCATAAGGTAAACTAAAACAAATTATGTCTGTGCAAAGCTATCACATTGTATTGTAATTATTACAAAATAAACTTAAGTGTGTGCAGGTCCTGAAACCAGAATTTGTATTTATTGCACTGGTTATTAAACAATCCCATGAACTTCATCTAATATTGTCCTCCTGTTGACCCAAACAGTTGACATGTGACAGACTCCGTGTGACTGAGGTGACATGCAAATGGCATCTTCTCGCAATAATTTGAATGTTAAATGAATGGCTGACTGGGTATACAACAAGTTTCCAGTAAGGCAATACACTGCTGTTCCACAAAGTAAGCAAAGCAAGTTGGCCATAAAAACACAGACAATGCTTATTAGAAATGAGGCGGATGTGGTTTTAGAGAATCACACTGCTGTGTAACTAGATAAAAACAACAAACTGACCGAACGCTGCAGGGAATTCGGAAAATATGTTGCTGCTGCTGTTCTTTATTTGACCATTTAAAGGAACAGTCTCAATTTACAACTCCCCTAAAGTTAAATAGATTGGGTTTTACCATTTTTTGAATCCATTCAGCTGATCTCTGGATCTGGTGATAGCAATTAGCTTAGCGTAAATCATATTTAGACCAGTGGCGCCCAAACTCCTTCACGGTTGGTGTCCTGTGAAGTTTACTTCCAATGCCAATCAGACACACCTGAGCTAGCTAATCAAGCTCTTGCTAGGGTTTATTTTAGAAAAAGACATAACTACAGGTGTGCTGAGGAAAGTTGAAACTAAAATCTGCAGGACACCGGCCCTCCAAGATAAGGTTAAGTTACCCCTGGATTATTTATTTATTTATTTATTTATTTATTTATTTATTTATTTATTTATTTATTTATTTTATATTGTCGCAGGTGGGGGATCACACAGAGAAATGTTTATTTACAGTGCAGGGCGAGGTGTCCGTGGCAGCCCAAGTCCCAGTTTGCACAGGTCTGATTTGGGGAAGTGGAGTACCGATCGTGGATAGCTGGAGAGGGGACTGCCGCGAGCCATCAGTCAAAACATGCTCTCCTTTCCTCCTGGCGTCGTGCCTTATATTTCCCTTTCCCAACGAGTCTCAGCTGGCCCCGATCGGCGTGCTGATTGAGGTGAGGGAGTTGTGTCAGAGCTGAAACCACACTGGCAGGTCTGTGATATTTATAATTTACAAAAAATATGTTATATTTATAATAAATATAATAGTCATTCATTCATTTTCTTGTTGGCTTAGTCCCTTTATTAATCCGGGGTCGCCACAGCGGAATGAACCGCCAACTTATCCAGCAAGTTTTTTTTACGCAGCGGATGCCCTTCCAGCTGCAACCCATCAACATTCACACTCACATTCACACCCACATAATAAATATAATAATAAATATAATATATTAATATAAATATAATTTCCAATTAAAGCATGACACTTTAATAAATTGTTTACTAAGACGGAGAGAAAATTAAATGTTGCTATTTTCTAGGCCAATATGGATAGGAAAACCATTTAAAGGGATGTAAACAAAAACAATGAATTCAAAAAGTGCCACGTTGATAAATAATCTTTATGATTAATGTTTTTAACAATACGTTATGATTGCCTCTTGTTACACTTATGAAAGGCCTAGTTTGATAAAAAGCAGGAAATGTTCATGAGCCAATGATATCACCACACTGAAATGGTCTATACTCATTTTTGTATGATAATGAAGGAACTTTGCTGCTGTACCAAGGATGCAGCAAGAGCAATGATATTAACCATCCCCTAAAAATAGTCACCAGCTAGGTAACTACTTAACAGGGCTGCGTAATACCATTGTGCTTTTTGCAGCTATTGTACAGCAGCAAAGTTTCTTGAACAGTGTTTCTCAACCACGTTCCTGGAAGACCACCAATACTGCATGTTTTGGATGTCTCCATTGTCTGTCACACCCATTGTAGGTCTTTCAGTCTCTGCTAATGAGATCATCTGAATCAGATGTGTTTGGTTAAGGAAACATGAAAAATGTGCAGAGCTGGTGGCCCTCCTGGAACATGGTTGAGAAACACTGGCCTAGAAAATACTTTTAATTTTCTGTCACTCGTAGAGCACACTGCAGATGATTCAAGGTTTAAATAGTAAAGTTATCTAAACTCTGGTCAAGTTCGAGTAAGATGCTAATGATCTAATCAAACTCCAGGATTTATGCTAAGCTAAAAGTGTTCTCGCCCGTTTAGCTTAATGCAGGGTTGTCCAAACTCTGTCCAGGAGGGCCAGTGTCCTGCATATTTTAGTTCCAACCCCAATTAAACACACCTGAACAAGCTAATCAAGCTCTTTCTAGGTATACTAAAACAGGGGTGGCCAACCCTGTTCCTGGAGAGCGACCTTCCTGCAGATTTCAGTTGCTACCCATATCAAACACACCTGAACCAATTAATTAGGACCTGAACACCACGTGATAATTACAGGCAGATGTGTTTGATATGGGTTGCAACTGAAATCTGCAGGAAGGTGGCTCTCCAGGAACAGGGTTGACCACACCTGTACTAGAACATCCAGGAAGGTGTGTTGAAGAAAATTGGAGCTAAACTATGCAGGACATCAGCCCTCCAGGACAGAGTTTGGACATCTCTGGCTTAATGTAACTTTACACTCAAAGGGAAAAATGACAAAGAAACAAATTTTTTATTATTATTATTTATTATTTTTTTTTTTTACAAAAACAAAAACCCACACATTCTCTTTTAGACTCTTTATTGATTCGGTAATCGCATATAGATAATTCACTTTCTTCAGAAAGAAACAATTGTATTTGCTGATATGCTCTAGAATCTCAGTTATGAACAAAGTGCATGAAACACAGACTAGTACAAATAAATAAATATTATTTTAACAAAAAAAGGAAAGATATTACAAAATAAGGTTCAAGTATCAGAAGCAAACATGAATTACAGTTAAGAGCCAATATACAAGATTGCACCTAGTCGTGTGATGAACTTAATTGTTTTATATTACAAAGCAACAACTAGACTTCTTCTCAGAAACATCCATTTACAGTTAAAGCCGGTTCTTCAAATTTCACTCCCTTTCTACAAAAATCTACTATATATTTAAATTGTAAACATTTGGTTAAGAGGATAAATCTGTACATACATATTATATCAAATGCTAGTTTAAATTCTTGTGGCTGTGACAAGAAATTGAAATGATAAAGCTAAAGCTACTTCAAATGTTACATTTTTTATATATATATATAAATTTTATATATATACTGTATAGAATTCTCATTACAATACAAAAAGCAGCTCTGGCCTGATAGCTCAAGCACTAGGCACTCTAGGGAATTAATAAATGAACAGTATAAAAAAATTGTATCTGATATTTATCACGCCATAAAACACATTAGATATAAACAACAAATATAAACACTGTTTCACTTCGTCCCATCCAAACACTCGATAAAACACCCTGTTTTCATAACCTTACGCATTGACCTTGTCATCAGGTCTCCGAAGCACACAAATTACACACATAAAAACACACACTCACAATCCATATCATAACACAAATCACGTGAAACTGCAGCAGACGACATGAGAACTTTTAAACAGCCTTGAAAACAGCCAGCAGCATTAAAAAGAACGAAATTTGTAATATTCGTTATTGCCCTTCAAAAAAAATGAAGACAAACAAATGCAAATGATCTAAATGTGCAATTAGAATGTGCAATTTAGTTTGCAGCATATGATAGCGAGTGCAGAATGGACACAAATCAGCCCACTAACATCCGTGGGTGATCTTTGGTCTGTTTTTTAGCGTCGTCTTCTCGAAATCACAGGGCTTATTCTTACCATCAGTGTTACACATCTGGATGAGACCAGAATTCAAATATTAACAAGTGGTATCCTGTTATATAAACAGGGAATAGTGTCCAAAAATGTCAGGGGAGGTGGGGGGTTATAAATTGGTAATCCCTGTCACTGTGCTCTGGATACACTTTATATCCAAAAACTCCTTACTAGTACAAACCACATAGTATGTGCATTCCTTACAAATAGGAAAAACCCAAGGGTCCATTTCTTTTTTTATGTGGGAAAAGGAGAGGAAGCAGCTTGACAGGAAACTCTTCCACGTCGAGTAAAGCTTTACAGCCGAATAATCTCACAGGCAAAGCTGAGGGGCTTCATGGCACTCTATACAGCATTTCTTCAGGTTCTGCAGAAGAAAGAAGGTCAAGCGATTGGTTATTCACTGAACTGAATGACTACTCAAACACTTAGCTGGTAGCTAATAGCATAACAGCATTTAGCATAACAAAAACTGTTGCTTTTGGCAAGTCCACATGAAAGCTGCTTTCACAAAATACTGAGAATTTCAACAACAAATGGAAGCTATGAAACATGACAAACACTGAAGGAATGCTAAATATGTAGATATTTAGCATTCCGTGTGAGTTTATTTCATATTTTTGGTTAATTTGGGCTAATAATTGAAGCTGACAGAAACTATTTTTCTACTAAAAAAGATTCCTCATTAAGTACATTTCAAATGTAAGTGTTAATTAGAAAATATATAAATAAAAGGTCCTAAAAATGCACTCCAATTTAAAAAAATTAAGAGTTTTATTTATATTTATGTTATTTATTTGGACTTTTAGTCTAGACTTGGAGTCAAATATATAGATTTACTTTTCAGACAGTGATTAAATTAAGTAAGTATTTACTATTTTGAAGCAATTAACCCAACAGTGTTTTTGGTAAACTGATTTTGATTTGTATAACTGCATTTTTACTCTGAAATTGCATGAAAAAAATTGCATGACTGTTTGCTCATCATGTTTTTTTGGTTTAAACTAGTAAAACCTGACACATTTTAATTTGCTGTACTAATATTTTGCTAATCTACAAAATTTTCTAATTCATTTGTAGTAAAACCATGTTTTTTTATAGGGGGTATTGCACAGTGGCCTCAAAGTAAGGCAATTTAATTTCGTCAGCCACCGCGACGCTACAGCGGTGATGTCACACCCCCATCCCCTACACAGATACTTAGCAATCCTCTTCAAATATGTCACGCAAAGTCCATCAAAACCTTAAAATATTCATAATTGATAATATGCTATTCTATTTAGCTAATCTACAACATAAGCTTCAGTGAGCTTTACCTCTGAAAGAGCAGGACTGACACCACTTGTAGGTAATGTAAAAAAGAGCGTCTTTAAGCATGCAAAAGATGAGGAAGAGAAAGAAAAGGGTAGAACAAATGAGAAAGTAGATAATGAAAATCTATTTAAAGACAAAGTGTACTGTAACTATAGTATTTTGTCATTAGTGCCACCTTTAAAAGGCCAGTACTGCAAATTTATCTGTGAAAGGAGTTGTAATTTTTTTTTCACAGTGACATTTTTCATCCTTACTTTTAAACAAACAAGACTGCTACTGTAGCTTTAAGACTTTGATATGCAAATAAGTATGGTTATGATTGGTGAATCTTTGACATCAAAGATCAAGTTACAAAATATAGCACGGGTCAGGTAATATTATGGATGTCACACTTAGTTTAAATGAATCACCAATTGACAGATACACAAGCATTCTTTTAAGCATTCTTCCAAAAATCTAAAGTAAATCAGTTTTGACACGAGTAAATGTTGAGTAAATAATAACAAAATTTCCACTTTTGGATGAACTATCCTTTTAAATAATAACAATAAGCCTATGTATGATTTAATGTATGGTCAATTTAAAGGGACAGCTTACCCAAAACGTTTTTAATTTTGTTATTTACTCACCCTGTTGTACAGAGAATAAGGAATTTAGAAGAATGTTGAACTACTTGAACTATGTAAATAAAAAAATTTAGTCTTCAACATAATAAAGACTACATTTGAATTTTGTGGGTGAACTGTTCCTTTAAGGATGTTGGGTAAATTATGTGATGCTCAAGCTGGTCGGGTTTGATAGGGGAAATTTGATCTGAAGATGACAAGAAAGAAACAGGAGGAGGAAATACTTACAGACAAGCTTCGCTAAGCCAGTTCTGTAGCACATAAACGTGAATGAGGAAGGACAGGTTCAGGGAAACAGAGAGAAACAGGAAGAGAATGTGAAAAAAGGAAAGCATGAAATGATTAGTTTGTGACTGGAAGGTTATGAGAGTGAAGTTCAGGCACAGGACGGGTGTTTATTTCTCACCTGTGTGGACAGAGCCAGTGTGGTGTGTGAGGCTGAGCAGAGAGCAAGTTGAGCCGGCATCACTTCTCTGATGATTGGCTCATCCAGACCATCGATACGAGGCTTCTTAAAAGGTTCATGGCTGGTGAGAGGAGTCACGCTGTTTCTCCTGATCAGAGTGCTTGGGCCTCGCTTCACCTCCTGGAGGAAGAGATTTAGATGATTTAAAAGAAAGATCGCAATCTGAATAGCTATTGTGTGTATTTATAGCTTTGGGGGAAATTAAGAGGCCATTAGAGAAATTTATGTTTGTCTGGTTTTATATAGTTATTATAGCTGTGAGTAACACTTAAACGCATGGGTTCACCTAAAGCTGACAATTCTGTCATTTAGTTATTTCAAAGTGGTTTCACGTTCCTTCTGTATGGAAGTCATTAGTTACAGGTTTTCAGCATTCTTCAAAGTGTCTTTTTGTGTTCAACATAACAAAGAAACTCATAAAGGGTTGGACCAACTAAATGATGATGGAATTGTCAGTTTTGTGTGAACAATTTCCTTAAATTTTATTCACGACTAAAAATGTAAAACAAAAATCCAGACAAATGTAGAATTATCATCAAGTGGGCTCTCCATTTTTATACAATGCTTGTTTTCTTTTTGTCTGTGTGTAAACTATCCTTTTAATCTTGTTCTGTTAAATTACTGATGACATGTCTTCCTAATTTTAAATAAAAATGTCATTTAGAGATTTTTAATTTCATAAAATAACAAAACAAAGCCATGTTGTCAAAGATTGTACTACATTTGTGACCATGGATGACAAAAATAGATTGCAATATGTCTTATGTTGCATGGGTATTTTGGAGGGAATAGACAAAAATACCCTGAAAGAGTCAAAATTAAAGATATTTTTTATGCCAAAAATCTAAATAGATAATTAAGTGAAGATCTTGTTCCATGAAGACATTTTGTCTATTTTCTAACCATAAATAAATCATAACCCATTTTTTAAATTACTAGTGAGTATTGCTAAGAGCTTTATTTGGACAACTTATAATATTTATTTTTAAGTTAATATTTATTTATATCAGATTCCAAATTTTCAGATCTAAGCCAAATATTATTCCCGTACATTGAACCATGCATGAATTGAAATGTACATTTTTCAGCTTTCAAGTGATGTATTAATCTTAATTTCCAAAAATTGACCCTCATGACTGGTTTTGTGTTTCGAAGAGTTAAGGAATCAATATTTGGTGGAATAACCCTGATTTTCCAATTACAACAAAGAAAAACATTTGCAATTGCAATTTCGGTTGTCATTTTCTGATTTAAAAAAATGCTCTAAATGACAATTTTTTGTTTGGACCCAGCATAAAACAAATCTTAACACACCTAATATGTCCAGAAAATGGGAAAACTACAGTATATGTGACTATGAGTGTGTGCTTACCTCTGGTCTTTCTCTGTGTGTGTTCACTGCCTCCACATTCAGAGAGATAGATTCCACTTTGCATCCTTTTGAAATACAAAATATTAAAACAATTAGTCTGGATTATACCTTCACATTACGTATGTCAGATATTGTGAAGTAAAAATAGTGTACCGTAAGCCACTGGGGTCAGCTTGAGTACGGTGTGGAGAGGACACTTCAGATATGGCATCTCATCTGGCAACAGGAAATTAAATGTCAGTAAGGCTGCACTGCTAAATGAGGATGGAAAAGTGGAGTGATACAAATGAAGGAGGGAATTTAAATGGATAGTTTACCAAAAAAACTATTTACATGATTCTAAATTCTGAACTTACAGAGTTTTTTTTACTTAAATCTATGCGTTTTGGCTCATCTTTAACACAATGGCAGCATTTGGGGGGCCAAAAAACTTTTCAAAGTGTGAATTTCTTCAAAAACGATATCATTATTGTCTGTGTGTAAACTGAAAAAATGGTGATCTCGATTCCTGGAGGGCTGCAGCTCTGCACAGTTTTGCTCCAACCCTGATCAAACACAGCTGATCCAACTAATCAAGGTGTTCATGACTCTTTTAAACACCTCGATTATTTTGATTAGCTGTGTTTAATCAGGGTTGGAGCAAAACTGTGCAGAGCTGCGGCCCTTCAGGAATCGAATTCGAGACCTATAGTCCATAAGCATGTGCGCACACTTCTAAAACAATTCCTAAATGGCCTCTCATACAGTAGCATTCGTAAAATCAAGCCCTTTACTGCAACATTTTTTCAATTCGCTATTCAAAATATAGTATTTTTAAGTTTATAGGTCAAACAAATGGACTTCAACAGCTAGCTCATTAATGTTTATATGAATGTTTGTCAAGCTTCTCTTCCTGAGTTTGAAATTTTGTAGTAAAGCCTAACATGACTATTTCTGCATAAACAACTGGATGAAGAATCTCACCTGCACTTTTGTCAAGGAAATAGGCGAGTAGGCATCGAATCACCGCCTGGTGACAGATGACCAGAACATTCTCCTGTCGCTCCATTTCCATAATCACCGGCTCCACACGCTGAACCAAATCCTGATATGACTGAAAAACAACAAACCATTTATTAAAGACACCTTCTCCTTTTTATCATACTAAAATGTATATGTTTGTTCTGTTGGTACCTCTCCGGAAGGGTAGCGGTAGTAGTATTTGTCCTGATCTCTAAGAGAAAACTCCTCGGGAAACCTCTCCCTGACTTCTTCATAGGTCATCTCCTCACACACACCCTGGAACACAATTGACACATTTTTTAACAGAGCACCATAACAGAAAAACAATCCAGGGATGAATGCAGGATAACTTACGGCATCAATCTCATTGAGGGCTTTCCACTGTTCGTACGGCACATTGAGAGCCTCTGCTGTTTGGATACTACGCTTCAGCTGGCTGGTCCAAACCTTCAAATCCTTCAAATTCTGCTCCTCCACAAACTTAGCAAGAGCACCTGCGAACTACAGGGAAACATAGTTGTATAATTTAATGCTCCTGGCCAGTACACTCTGTTTCAAACTTTACAAACACTGTCCCTGGCATCAAACTGAGCTTCTTGGTCTAAACACGCCTGCCTATGACGACTTACAAGGTTATGTGTCATTTTAAATAAACGAAACCAGGACTATTATTAAAAAGTAATTGCACAAGCTGAGATTTAAGAGCATAGCAGTACCTTTCGTCCTCGTGTAGACAGACCAGAATCTCCTCCCAGTCTACCCTGGAGGTTGTGCTGGCTTTCGCCATGGCGGCATAAATAAATGGAGCGCGGCTGCACGTGGATATTCATCAAATAGTACACGATGCGACTCTGGATGTGGTCTTGAATGCGGTTGACCAGGAATCTGCGACCGACATCAATCACTTTGATGAAGGACAAGCTTCTGTTGGGACAAGCAAGAAGAAGTGGTTGATCCTGTGCCAGGACGATGATGCAATAAAATGGAAAACCACTGAAAACATTTAGTGTACAAGATGTGCGAAACACATACTTCTTTAAAAATTATTAAAAGTGTCAGGCCAGTAGTGGGCAATCCTAATCTGTAAACAAACTTTTAACATGTAACATGCATGTTTCTGAGATGCCAAAAGTTGCTAATTTAAAGGCACAGTATGCCATTTTCTTCACTATTCACAACAAACAAAGGCATATTTTAATGACACCATGACTGAGTGTGGAATCATGGGAGTTGTCATCTTTATTATATCCTGCGAGACTCCTGAAGAAATCCTGTTCATGAATGAGCTAAATTATTCAAGGCTTATTATCAGTTCTTAGTGACACCAGCAGGTCATCAACCTGCAGTCTGTTAAGGTCTTAACGCCCCAGTATAGGGAAGGGGACTCTATACTGCTCAGTGAGCAACGTCTTTGGGATGAGACGTTAAACTGAGGTCCTTACTCTCGTGGTCGGTAAAAAAAGCACAGAATGTCCTTTCAAAAAGAGTAGGGGTTTAACCCCAGCATCCTGGCCAAATTTGGCCACTGGCCTTCGTCCATCATGGCCTCGTAATCATCCCCTTTTATCATATCATTATTGGCTCTATCACTCTGTCTCCTCTCCACCAGCTGGTTTGTGGTGTGCGGTCTGGCGCAATATGGCTGCCGCCACGTCATCCAGGTGGATTCTGCACACTGGTGGTGGATGAGGAGATTGCCCCCAATGTGTGAAGCGCTTTGAGTGTCCAGAAAAGCGCTATAAATGTAAGAAATTATTATTAATTATTATTATCATTATAATAAAAACAAAATTTTGAACAACAGTCCATGTCACTTGCTTATTTCTTTGGATTTGAACACTGTTTGGAATGTTTAGGACCACGTAAGTACATAAGTCAGCCAAATATATAACACTGTTCTAGTGTTTTGTGGATATTTTAATGAAAAGTCTTATATGTTGTGCTTATACAGCCAACTGTGTGTATTTGTAGAATTTAATCTAACACTAACCTGTCATACTGGTCAGGGTCAAGAGGCTGATAGTTCATTCTGTAACATTCAATTCTTTTCTTGAAGTCCTCCATGGCATCTGTCTTGTTGCAATCTTGGTAGTCTGGACATGACACCTTAACTTCCTATTTAGGGTTTAAAGTAACACTTAGATCCTGTGCAGACTATGTGAAATCAAGCAGATCAGATATGTTCTTTATTTTTAGTGATAAAGTTACTGTTTGTCCTACAACTTACCAGGATATTACAGGCGATAACGTTTGGGTCCTCACACACGGACTCAATAAAGAAAATCTGTGAAGCACATTCACATTAGCACTCTTAGTCACTCTAATTATCCCCAATGGTAATCTTCAAGAGAATATAACCAACCTTGAAGCCATTTTCTGCACCAAACTCCAAGATCATATCTCGTCGATCTCTGGTTGTGTTTGTTGCATCAAAAACCTGTGGAAAAAATTAGACACATTCGTTATTATGGAGTCGCACTTGCATGTCTTAACTGTTTATACATCTACAGCAGATACTTACAGCCACTTGACCGTCCTCTTCAGTGAGGTAATTCTTGACATCTCTAAGAGCGGCCAGGGCACACTGCCTGTTGACAAAATATAAAATGATTAATAACCCCGTAAATTAGTTTAGTCCATAAATATGTTCAAATTGGGAAATTATGACAACTCACTGTCTGATTTTTACAGCATCCTCATTGTCTGATTTGAAGAAATCATAGGAGCTGTAGTGTTTCACTGCTTCACGACGATACTCGCCAACATTAAAGACTAGAAATAGACATATTCAATAGTTAAATTCAGCAAATTATTAATTGAAAAAAACAAAACAGAATTTTTTTAAAGAAAAAAAAAACTGTGTTGCTATAAAAGCTGTATTTATGATGTTGGAGATAACAGAAGGGGTCACTTTATTAGTTTTACTAAAATCTACCATAAATTATTATTATTATCCTATGTGTGACAAAGTAAGACAACCTTTAAAATACAAATAGCATGAGGGCCATTTTTCTTCATTGTTGGATACTTTTCTTCATATAGGTCAATTTATTTTGTATGAAATTATAAGTTAGATATATTTAAGATATATTTTCTCCATGACTTGTTGGAGATTTAAAAAAAAAAATTCTTTTGAAACGAGGGATGGGAGCACAATCTCATTTAAATTTAAAGTGACAGTCACCAAACCGGCACAACTTGGATGAATGAAAGTCTAAAATGGGCAGTTTTAAAGAGTTATAAAAAATTATTTGAGGATTTTGAGCTGACATCAGAGACTTATTTTATCTTGATCCCCTTGATGACTACTAATTTATTAATTTATGTCATGTTTGGCAGTGAAAATGCATATTATATGCATATTATATGTATATATATATATATATATAAAATATGCATTTTTAAACCTGAAGGGTTTATGGCATTAATAACCCAGATGTATTTTTGTGTAGTCCCCAAACTTTCTTTTCTTTTCTGTAATTGAACTATGAGCGTATTACATTCTCTAAATTGATTCATAAATTTTTTTTTACTTTTATAGACCCCTATTATATATATATATAATTTTTTTTAAATAAACAATGTTTGATTTTGTACCTTTAGTGGGGATTCCAATCCAGTTGAGGTAGCGAGTGAGTTTTCTGGACATATAAGTCTTGCCCCGAGCAGGAAGTCCGACCATCACAATCACTGTTGGAGGGTTTGCCAAATGAGGGCCTCCACGTGCTAAAAACACAAAGAAGATACATTACAACAAACACACGCGATTTATTGGAAAAACATGGTCATGAATTTGCCTGTATTTGAAAAGCTTTCAAGGAAATGGATGCCATTTTCCTTTAATTCCTCTCATTCTAATGATTCGAGCACGTGAAGCCAGTTTGCGAGCCATTAATACAGTCAGCCAAGGATCAGGTCACTTGCGCACAGATGCACATTGAAAACTAAACATCTACTACGCTAAAACGCACGTGCACATTCCACGCCAGCATTAAACCGGGTCAGACACAGATAAGTCTCACTTTCTGGTACACTCACAGACACATATATCCTGCAGAAAGTAAATGTTTGTGTTCATGTCTGACGTTTTAAAATATATGTATTTTTGCATTGGTGCATTAGGCTGGGGATTCAAGACGATTTGTATATTTTGATTGTGTTTCTTATTAATCATGTTGTTTATAGGACAGTAAAATCCTGAGAGAAAGTACAAGTTTTTTTTCAGGCTGTTTTTTTCTGAATGAATTACAGGTGTTCACTGGAAGGCGGCCATGTGAATGGGGAATGGGATTGTGAAGCAGCGTGGTCGGGGTTAATCTGTAAGAACGTCCTTAAAGAAGATCCTCAGCGGAAACACATGAGCTCATACTCAGCTCAGTCAGCAGAGACAGACTGTGAGCTTATTATTAGGCTTCTGCTGGATCCACATGCACTGACCAGACAGAATCGCTGGGGAATACATCTGGGGCATGATGATTCATCCCATAATAGAAAAAATACTATAAAAATTATATTACATTAAATTATATTATATTTTTTACCTTTTACAAAGATCTATCATACTGTATGTCTGTCTATATATAGTAGTTATAATTCACATATTGGACATTAATATATATTTTTTTTGGTTCTGAATATTTATTAAAATATTATATTAAACTATGACATTTAATCTGTGGAAGTTCTATTTACCTATTTATAATCCACATATTAAATATATTTTCAGTATTAAAAATTATTTCAGTGATCAAAAAGCAATTATATTAATTTTACCTTACATTTTTATTAATGTTTTTCTTATTATTTTTATTCTACCTATGATTAATAAATGGAATCTAAAATATTTATATAAAAAAATTAACACTTTGAAAATTTCTGTAAATATAAAAGTCTATCTATCTATCTATCTATCTATCTATCTATCTATCTATCTATCTATCTATCTATCTATCTATCTATCTATCTATCTTCTTGTTATTATTTCAGTATCAGAATATCAGTCATTGTATGTCTTGTGTTGATAACCAGAATGAACTTTATTCTGTTCTATAAATAAAACTATCCTGGATAGATTTTTTTGACTAAACTGCAAAAAAACTACATAAATACAGCCATTACAAATAAATTTAATATATACAATCTAAACTATTTATTAATTAATAATTTATTATACATATTAATATATTTAATATATAAATATTATGATATTACTTAGATTAAATATTTTTGCACATAATTTGGTTCACAATTTTTCTTTTTTAGCCATATAGTTTCTTTCTTGAAGTAAATTAACTGAACATCACGAAGGTCACAGTGATATGCCTGACGCAGCAGTCACTAAATATGATGAGTAATTCTTCTGCATCTGCCTGCTGGCATCACGCTCACGTGTAACCCAGGTAAAAACATTCGACCAATCAGAACCCACTATGAGTGGAAAAAGCAAACATTTCTCTGCAAACTCCCTATTCAGTGCGCGCTTCAATGCGTGTCGTCATCAGCCTTAACAAAGGCCATGCAAGAGTTTCCATGCCAACAGAATCTTTTGAATCACTTGAATTCTTTTGAGTCGTGAGCCAGCAACTTCAGAATGTCCTAATGTTGGAACTACTAATACCGTTCCTATGGCAACCGATGTGACCATCATTATAAAATGTCACAATTTTGCATAAATATTAAAGCAAAATGCGGATTTTCACTCTCAGTGATGGGTTGCAGCTGGAAAGGCATCCGCTGCGTAACACATATGCTGGATAAGTTAGTGGTTCATTCCGCTGTGGCGACCCCTAATTAATAAAGGGACTAAGCCGAAAATGACTGAATGAATGAAAGAATGCTGATTTTCAAATCACAGCAAGTAAAAAAGAAAAGTTTCAGAAAAAATAAATGCTCTAAATGACCATATTTAGTTATAAATGTATGAAATCAGACCTTTAAAGAACAAATATTACATTAATCCATGTCCTCTTATAAAGATTTCAAGTTGTTTCTTATTTTTTAAATATCTTTATATATTCATAATCTTAAACATTATCTATCTATCTATCTATCTATCTATCTATCTATCTATCTATCTATCTATCTATCTATATATATATATGACTATTATACATGCAGGAACGCAATTGAAATTTATAACATCAATATTAGACAGCATTTGTGTTTGTTCGCTATTCTTTATTATGAAATAGTGAATAAATAAACATATGCAGTCACTCACGTGCGCGGGGCATTGAAGGCTTGTCATCCTTAGAGGGAATCCAGATTTTTTGGATCCTGTTTTGGGTTAGTTCCCTTGGCATTCCTTAAAGATGTGGAACAATCAGCAAGATAACCGCAGCAGGTCACAGAGGCTTTTGGAATTCCACGTTTTGTTTAGTAAAACAAAACCTTTTAGTTAAGACTGCTCTTCTGTGTATTAACGATTTTCTTTTTGAGCTGTTCGACGATTTTCGGTGGTTATATCTCGTACACCTCGTCTATTCGCTTCCCGGTAATCTCTAACATAACGTCTCTCATCCTCTGTGCTTTAAATACGGAACCGGCGACACGATGACGTGACGCAGCTCGAGAGGGCGTATCTACTTTTAAACGCATTCGCATGCGCCACCTTGCGGACAAATACAAAACATTGATTAATATTGAATTAGACATTTAAAACGATGTGTTTAAACATTTGAGGAGTGCGTTTACATAAAACAAGATTTGTTAATATTGTTGTGATGTTCCACTATCATTTCTGACGTTAATAACACACACATAATGCTCCAGAGATAATAAAAGGGAATGGGTGGCAGTAGTAAATATGCAGGTCACGTTTCAAGTGGGCATCCCCACGCATGCCTACGTGCGGGGAGTCACTACATCAGTACATCAATCTCCATAAATCCCTGAAATAAGAGCAAGGGTCTTTAAGCTGCAAAACAACGGCCTATTGTAGCATTAATCATCATTTCCTGCAATAAAAACAGTAAATTATTGGTAAACGTAACGATCAGATTTTAAATGCAAATAATATATTATTCTGCATTTGCAGAAAGGTTATGCTCACAAATTATAATAAAATGAAATATAACTTGTGTTAAATTTCCATTACATTTGTATGCAGGCTATAGCAACCAGGACTTGATGGAAATCGTCAGTTGCTACACATTGAGATTTTGACATGTTAAAACTAGCCTGCATTTCGAATTTGCAGCCTCAGTATTATTCACAATTCTTTGAAATATTAAATAAAAATTGCTGTTTTTTTTTCTAAAAAAAAAATTACATTTAAATCATTTTGTTTAAAATGTATAATTTGTCTTATTTGTTTTTTATTTATTTATGTACAGCTTTGATAAATAAATAGCGTGATTATATATATATATATATATATATATATATATATATATATATATATATATATATATATATATATATACACACACACACACACACACACAAGTGAAATATACTAGCATGGACTGAGATATAAAGGACTGAAAAATCCATTGTTGCTTTTGAGATTCGGGCTAAATGGCGAGAGAGGCTGGCGACTCTCACATCTGCACGTACAGGATGAACACCGAGGGCGTGACATCACACTGCCAAACGCACCAAACCATTTGTCCAGCAAATATTACACTAGTTTTCAAGGTTTCCTACATGGAGTAGCTCATTACCGTCCATTTAAAAGGTTGAAAGGAAAAAAACAATCCCTTCTCGCAAAGAAACACGATCCTCAATGAAAGTGAGTTAATTGCATATTATTTGAGGTATTTCCCCAAGGTTCAGGTCACTTTATTGCGATACCAGGAATCGGTTTGTCCCTGTTTGACGCTTTTGTAGTGCAGTGAACCTGATTTCTGTCGGCTTCTGTGTTGACCCACATCCAGATAGCTGTCTGGGTGAGATTTGTTTAGTTGGCTGATGTTGGTGAGACACACTGGGTCAGCTGAAATTAATATCACTTTAAAACTGTATAGGCTACACCAAAAAAAGCATAGGCTAGCAGTATATATATATATATATATATATATATATATATATATATATATATATATGTGTGTGTGTGTGTGTGTGTGTGTGTGTGTGTGTGTGTGTGTGTGTGTGTGTGTGTGCGTGTGTGTCTGTAGTATGTTGGCCTTAAGGGATTCCATTCGGAACCTTTTTTCATCCATAAAGCCTTTTTCTTTAACAAAAGGGGATTTATAGTGAAAAGCAGTTCTTTAGATTATTTAAATGTTCTTTACACTTGGAAACAAATGGTTCTTTAAGAACTCTTCAGAGAAAGTTTCACTGGGAACCAAAAATGGTTCTTCTATAGGGTGTAAAGTACTCTTTTTTTAACATGTAACAGGCTTTTTCTAGACTTTTACTTATAATCACATTTTAAAACATACTCTGTAAAATAATACTGCTGCCATAAAATATTTTGTTCAATCTAATTAACTCAAATTACCTAACTTAAAACAGACAAAAAATATTAAGCTAGATTAACATCAAGAAAGAAAGAAAGAAAGAAAGAAAGAAAGAAAGAAAGAAAGAAAGAAAGAAAGAAAGAAAGAAAGAAAAGAAACCTAAACAATTCAATTTGTGATTTTCATATGGTTGACAAAAAATGGGCTAAAAATAAGGGAGGGAAATTAGATCCAAATCACATCTGGAGACTTGAAGGAGGGAACTTGTGGTGTTGTTAGTAACAACTCTTAACGCCTTTGTGAACAATGCACTAACAACTCAACTCTCGCCACTTGAGAGGTAGGCTTAGGGACAGCACATACAAAATTCTACACTTACTTGAGCAATTAAAATTAAAACTTTTCATTCTAAACAATGAAAACACACTCAGACAGTTTCATGTTGTAGACTATACACTAGACAAAAGTCTTGATTGAGCCCAGTCACCACACATGAACATTTTTGAGCATGTCTGGGGTAAGATGAAGGAGGAGGCATTAATAATGAATCCAGAATCTTGAAAAGAATCTTGATGAACTCTGGGAGTTCTGCAAGAACGCTTTCTTTGCGATTCCAGATGATGTTAATAAAAAGTTATTTGAGTCATTGCAGAGATGTTTGGATGCAGTGCTCCAAGCTCATGGGAGTCATACACAATTTTTTCCCCACTGTACTTTATATTCTGTACAGTACATTACTTGTATTAAGTGACAAGACTTTAGTCTACGCAAAGTCAGACCTTACTGTCCTAACTAAATAATTACTAGTGAGGTCATGATCATGTTTTATTTTAATAAAATAAGCATATTCTAGAGGCCTTTGCCTTTCATATAAGCCACTTCTGACTCCAAATGATCAACTGGAAGTCAAGTTATTATTTGTTGTTCCTAAAACTTGGATAGGCAACAAGACCTTTGTCAGGCAGTGTATATTGCCTTACACAAATGGTTCTTCTGACCGAGCCAGAAAATTGGATGGGTAAACAAGTCTGTTTTTGCAGAGTGGGTGCACGAAGCAGGCATGCATCACAGTAAACGCAAGCCTCAAGTAAGCACTGAACTGTACTGTACACAGGCATGCGGTTAGCATGAAGGGTTGACAAACTTGTTGCTCTCAGGAATACAAGAGCAGATTGAAGAAAGCAAGTGTAAGACAGGAATCCCAAAGTTGGCCCTGAAGCTGATGCAGTCCCTGCAAGGATAGGATGTCAAAACCAGAAATAGACCAGAGAGAACATGAAACACACACACTGTGAAGTACACACAGTCACACACATCTTAATGTCCTGAATAACGAACAAATCTTTCATTAAACTAAATAATCAGGACAACTGAGATAATATTGCATAGGATGTGTCAAGTTTTACATGGAAATGCATATTGATTATTGCAATATCTTTTAGGTGTGTTTTATGGAATTACTACAGACATTACACTGGAAAGTCAAACAGAGTCATGCATCATATGTTCATTTCAAGTTGAAGTGTAAGGAGTCATTTCCAGAAAACAGGGTCCAGACGAGTGTACTAATGTCCTGTTTACTGTAAACTGACCTGGCAATCCAACCCCTTCACTCTTACATCACATACAAGGACAGCAATGCGATTCAAAAACAAACAGCAACTAATCAACGCCTGCCTGACGCAGTTAAGCAGCTCATGTATTGAATTAACCTGGCGCATGTTTGGATAAAGGCCAGACCGAAGGCATACTCGTTCATCCTCTATGAATTCACTTCTGCTGAGGAACACAGTGTTTTCAAGAACTTACAAACGAACCAAAACACTGAGAAATGAAACAAAACAGAGCTAAACAAAAAACTGAGATATAAAGGAAATGAAACACAAAGACAAAACAAAAGGTAAAGCTGAACAAAATCTAACAAAACATTAAGACAGTACATAAAACAGACAAGAGGCAAAACAAGCAAACAAAGCTAAACAAAAAAGAACACAATACTGATATATGACAAAAGAAAACACTCAGAACATGAGACAAAACAAAAAACAGACACAAAACAAAAGGTAAAGCTAAACAAAATCTAACAAAACAAGACAGGAGACAAAACAAGCAAACAAAGCTGAACAAAAAAGAACACAATACTGATATATGACAAAACAAAACACGAGACAAAACAAAAACACAGAGACAAATAGAACTAAAACTAAAATGTGAAGATAGCTTTCCGAAATATTTTTTCTACAAAAGCTTAGGTTTTTGTCTGCAGAAGTAAACAAAAACATCTGGCTAAACTTTAAGGCTTCTAAAAAGCCTTTTTTTTTTAAGTATGCAAACATAAAATAATCCACCTAATCAATCTAAAATAGTAAACCATAAACCAACAGAACTATAAATATCTCCATCCACACCTCAATTATTTCCCCACACAATCTAGGATGAGTTAAGGGGTGTGAAAAGCAGCTCATTGGATGGCAGTAATGAAGCCTGCAGAAGTGGGCCTAACGAATGCTTTTGGTATATTTCCACAATAACATTCAAATAATATTATGCTGTTGTTTATGATTCAAGATAACAATAATAAAGAACATCGTTTATAGTTTTTACACAAAAAAACGTTTAAGAATTTGGGTTAACTGGAAAAAAATATATATTTGTATATATTTGGATATTTGTATAAAAAAAGGAGCAGGAGTTTTCCAAGGTCGTGGCATCCTCATTTGTCAAAGGAACCAAATTAAGAAATATTTAGGCAGTTCAAGGTTTATTAGTGTTTCATTAAATATGAAGTCATCTAACCAATAGCTATTGTTTCCATTCACCTATTTTTAATGAACTTTTGGAATAATGCATTAAGTAAATGCTTAATGGAAATTTCAAAATGTTCATAAATTTTGACAATGTGCATAAAAAAACAAACACACAACTGAGTTAGATCTGATAACACATTTACTGAATACATTCCAGCATGTACATAAAAAAAAATTTGTGTTACATCTTGTAACAAAAATGGGGTGGCATTAATAAACATTATAACATTGTTTGGTCAATCTAGAATCCTAAAGTCTGTCATGAATGTGGTTAAGTTCTACA